GTACTTTGTCTGGAGTCTGTTCTCCTGTGTAATTGCTTGTCGTTTAATCTTTATTTCTGAAGTAGTCTTGTATTTTCCTTCTAGTTCTTTCCTGAGGTCTGTCAGTTCTCACATCACATGTCATCCTCATGTCTTGCTGTCACTTTGCCTGACCATTTCTTCTTCGGCTCTTGTATTTCTGCATTTTGGTCTGCCTTCATAACTGGAATTACTTTTTAAAGTTTTTTTTTTTTTTAATTCATGCTATAATTTTGTATTAGGATTTTTATCTGTTTTATGGAAATTTTTTTTTAAAGATTTTATTTATTTGACAGAGAGAGACACAGCGAAAGAGGGAACATAAGCAAGGGGAGTGGGAGAGGGAGATGCAGGCTTCCTGCAGAGCAGGGAGCCCGATGCAGGGCTCGATCCCAGGACCCTGGGATCGTGACCTGAGCCGAAGGCAGACGCCTAACGACTGAGCCACCCAGGCACCCCTGTTTTATGGGAATATTTTTATGATGAATTTTCCTTATGCATAAGAGAACATTAGTATTTCTTTCCCTTTTCATTCTTGGAGCATCTTTGTGTGGACACTGTTTATTTTTTTTATTCCTTTAACTGTTGTTTTTTTTTTTAATATTCAAATTGGTTGAATTTTCCTGGATCAGCATTTAATAGGAGGTTTTGGTAGAAATTGGGAGAGAGGCCAGGCTAGTTCTATTTCTCTGTTTTTATGGAAAAGGATTATTCCTTTAAAATATGACCTTTCGGGGCACCTGGGTGGCTCAGTCAGTTAAGCGACTGCCTTCGGCTCAGATCATGATCCCGGAGTCCTGGGATCGAGTCCCACATTGGGCTCCCTGCTCTGCAGGGAGGCTGCTTCTCCCTCTCCCACTCCCCTGCTTGTGTTCCCTCTCTCGCTGTGTCTCTCTCTGTCAAATAAATAAATAAAATCTTTTAAAAAATAAAATAAAATAAAATATGACCTTTCTTGGGGTGCCTGGATGGCACAGTTGGTTAAGTGTCTGACTCTTGGTTTTGGGTCAGGTCCTGAGCTTGAGCCCCGTGTTGGGCTCTGCACTTAGCATGGAGTTGACTTGGGATTTTCTCTCCCTCTCCCTGCCCCTCCTGCTGTGCGCTTTATCTCTCTCTCTCAAATAAATAAATCTTTTAAAAAATAATAAAAAATAAAATATGATCCTTCTCTGGATCCATTGCCCTTTTGCCTCACAGAACCCAGCTGGCTTAAAGGGGCCACCTGCCTCCAAACTTGAATTCTCCGGGTTCATTCAGGCTACAGCTCACTCTCTGACTTATTCATCTTCCTTTTAGAAGCGGTGATTTCTGCAATCTTTCACTTCTGGGCTCCTCTGCACGCTGTTCCTCCCCAGCTCACTGCTGTTTCTGCTGGACTCAGGTGCTTTGGGCCTCACTTACATGTGAGTTGGGGTTTATGGGTTTTTCATGCCCCTAGTTTCGCTGAAACTGTAGCTTGTGGTTTATTTTCTCTTTCCCCTGTTGCTCTGTATGACATCAGCAGAGGAGCAAAGATTCAGAACCAAGCATCTGCCCTATTCCTATTGGAAAAACAAGTCTCCACCTCCGTCATTTTGTTGGCAATATCTCCCAAAGAGCAAGCCACTGCCTTCCTGATTTCTGGCTTTAGAACATCTTACAGGCTTTGGAGAAGAAACATTTTATAACCTCTGCTCTGAAAACATCCATTTTTACAAGGATCATCTTCTAGTAACTGTAACTCCTACTTCTTGAATAGAAATATTTATTTATGCCCTGAAAGATGGGAGGGGGGTGCAGGGGCAGGACAGCGGGCGCTTCAGGCAGGATTTTCAAGTTCTAGGTATTGATTGTTCCCGCCAAGTAGGGTCTGGGTTCCTGATCCTGTCCTGTCTCCAGAAGTATCCCTGCTTTCAACTTGGTAGACTCTTCCCTCATCTCTTTCTTTCTTTTCCCCTGTGTGTGTGTGGGGGGGGGGGGGTTGACATGACAAGAAGTCCAGGATGGACTAGCTTCAGGCATATCAGAATCCAGGTATAAAGATGATGTCATCATGCATCTCTTTCTCTCCATCTCTTGGTTTTGCTTGCCTCTGGGCCAGCTTCATTCTCAGGCAGGCTCTCCCCTCCTGGCTCCTGGCTCAATCTCCCTGAGAAAGCATGTGACTCTGCTTGGCTTGGATTTGGGTTACGTGTCCTCCCTGAGCTACTCACTGTGGCCAGGAGAACATGGCACAGTCATTAGGCAGACTTGCATCGTGTGCATACCCCAAGAACTAGAGAGGGGGGTCTGTGGGGCAGAGGTAGTTCCTCAAAGGAAATCAGGGTACTGTTACCAGAAGAAGGGCGAATGGATGCTGGGCAGGCAAAGCCAGCAGACAGCCACCCCATCTCCACTGGGAAACCCCAGTGCAAATGACATCTAACCATTTTCTCTTGCCATGCAGAGAGGCCCACCGAGGCACATTCTCCATGGAGCTGCCATTTCAGTGATATTCCAGGCAGTGTGTATGATCCGAGGGTGGCTCTGAGACTCCAGGACAGAGGGACATAGGAAGGGGGTGTTGTGGAATAAATGGTGGCCTGAAAGGAGATATGTCATGTCCTGCCCCCTGCAACATGTGACTGTGACCTCCTTTGGAAAAAGGGTCTTTGCAGGTGTTACTACGTTAAGGATCTTGAGATGAGGAAATGATCCTGGATCAGCCAGGTGCGGGCCATAGTCCAATGACAAGTGTCCCTACAAGAGACAGAGGAGGAGGGCGCCTGGGTGGCTCAGTTGGTTAAGCGACTGCCTTCAGCTCAGGTCATGATCCCAGGGTCCTGGGATCGAGCCCCTCATCGGGCTCCCTGCTCCGCGGGAAGCCTGCCTCTCCCTCCCCCACTCCCCCTACTTGTGTTCCCTCTCTCGCTGTGTCTCTCTCTGTCAAATAAATAAATAAAATCTTTAAAAAAAAAAAAAAAAAAGAGACAGAGGAGGAGAAGAACGCACATAGGAGAAGGCCGCCTGAGCCCAGAAGCAGAGACTGGAGGAAGCGGCCACAAGCCCAGGAGGGCCTGGGGCCACCAGAAACTGGAAGGAGCAAGAAACGATTCTCCCCTAGAGCTCGAGAGGGAGTCGGGTCCTGCCGACACCTTGGTTTTAGACTTCTACTCTCCAGAGCTGTGAAAAAATAGGTGCCTGTTGTGGTCATTGGTTTCAGCGGCTCCCGGAAACCAATATGGGGAAGCTGATCAGAGTCGAGAGTCGGGTCCCTCTTCAGTTTCCTTGGTTTTGTGGTTTGCGACTTCTGCTGGGCTGCCTGCCTCCTGAAGCATCTCAAGGAAGACCTGGGGGTGGGGCAGTCCTCACGGGGGGCGGGGGGGCAGGAAGAGCTCCCTGAGGGCGTCAGCTCCAGCCTCTACGGCTGTGTGACCCTGGCCGAATCCCTTTCCCTCTCTGGGCCTCTGGGAGCCAGTCAGCACCCATCCCGGCGGCAAGCGGTTCGGCGTGGACTGTATCTGACCATCACCATGACTCTGCTCTGTTTGGGTCACGGTCCAGCAGCACCAGGCTGAGCTGGATGGACACGGGAGCCGAGGGAAGGTCAGAGGTGGAGTGCCCCTACTGTGGGCCATCAAGGAGTGACAATCTTCGGGCAGAGGAGCCATTTCTAGGCACTTGGGCCCTCGCTGATGCTCCTGACGGCGGGGGGAGGGCCCACAAAGCTGGTGGCGAGGGCCCAGCCAGCCAGGGGTGGTCAGGCCTTTGGCCCTTTGACCCACCAGCTGTGTGCGTCTCACCCTCACTTCCTGCCTGAGTTGGATCGTGGGGGGGTCCTGAGAAGCTCAGAGGAGCTCAGAGCAGGGAAGTGGCCACAGTCAACAAGCTAACTGGGGGCAGTGGCAACGTGCCAGGCGCTGCTGACAAGGGCCAGGACTTGGGCCGCAGCTGCGAGGCCCATCCCGGGGGGCCAGGAGCATGCTTTGGACCTGAGGTCACACGGGTATTGGGCTGTGGCCAACTTGGCCCTGTGCACAGTTTCTATTCCTGGGTTTTGGGCTCCAGGACCAAATACGGCCCTGCTTGGGACTGGCACTCTCCACTGGGGCAGGCTCAGGCTCAGGTGGCACATCCAGCCGCCCCAACAGGCCCAGATCCCACCCCACACCACCGAAGAGCCAGATCACCCCAACACTGCGGGGGCCCCTGGGCGGCTGGGACCTCGATCTGTCCAACTCTCTGTCCACTCCTCAGTGTGGTTCACATTGAGTTAAAAATACCCAGGACCAAAATAGCCTCTCCTTGCAGGGGAAAACCAGGGCAGGGGAACACAAGGTTCTTGATTTCTCTTGGCTCTGCCGCTCACGACCCAGCTGGGGGATCCCAGGCTGCTCACCTGACCTCCAGCCCCGCTGCTCATGGCTCCTTCGGTCACTCGCCAATTTGCTAACTCACTGACTTGCCCACTCTTTAATTCGCTCCTTCATTAATTCACTCGCTAATCATTCATCGATTCGCGTGCTCATTGATTCCCTCCTTCGTTGACTCGCTTCCTCCTTCACTTACCCACCCACACGCTGAGTCACTCGCTCACTCGATATTTACTGACTGCACACCGAGCGCCATCTATTTAGATGCTGAGCAAAACGCAAAAAATACCCATCCCCGTGGAGTGACATTCCACATAAATAACCCGCACAAACGAGTACAAGATGTCCCGTATGCTAGATGAAGCACCAGGGACAGTGAACTCCACAGGAGGCCATGAAGTGACAGGGGAGGTGGGACTCTCGGGGCTGGGAGGCCCCCCAGGAAGATGATTTCTGAGTGAGGACCAGAGGGAGGTGAGGGAAGGAGCCAGGTGAACAGCTGTGGGAAGAGTGTTCCAAGCAGAGGGAACAGCATACACAGAAGCCCTGAGAAGGCAATGGGGGGGGGGGCGGGGACGGGTTTGAGAAAGAGCGAGCAGGCCGGGCGTGGCTGGGGTAGAGCAGACGACGGGGAGAGACGCGGGGTGTGAGGCCAGGGGTGGGGGACACGCAGGACCTGGTGGACCTGGGCCTCCCACATCACTGAGGGTCTCACAGACAAATGACATGGCCTGGCTTGTGTCTTCGGAGTGTCCCTCTGGCCGCCGGGGGAGTGAGTCCGTGAGGGAGCAGATCAGGGAGAGGGTGAGTCAGTTTGTGTGGGTCTACTGTGTGCCAGGCACTGAGCCGGGCTCTGGCAGGGGGAAGGGGCACAGGCCCCCGTGGCGCTTACGGAGGCCCATCTGGCCACGGCCCTTCCATCAGTGTCAGCTCTCCCGGAAGCCACCTTCACTGGCTCCGTTGGACCCTTTGCTCCATTTCAGCTGTCACCAGCGTCGTCCTTGTCTGTTTCCAGATCGTTCCCCCCCCCCACGCGCTGAGAGCTCCCCCGGGGCGGAGCTGCAACCTAGCTCTTCCCTTCTCCCAAGCACTCTCCCTGTGGGGCCGAGAGAGCCAGTGAATCAATGAACAAGTGACCCTGTATGGCTGGGGGATGAGGCCTCCGTGAGCCCGCCACCCTCCTCACTGTGTGTCTCCCCGTCTTTTGCAGATGGATTTGTGGGCACGGAGAGTGTGTGGAAGGGCCGTGTTCCTGTTGGCAGAGGAGTCTGGCTGCTGAGCCAGGGCGTGTCTCCCGGAGGGCTGCCGGGCTGCCGGATCCCCACCTCGCCGCCATGGGCCGCCCAGGCTGGTCAGTTACCAGCCAGTGACGTTAGCGTGGTTCCCAGCCCTCCACTGGGAGGGCACGCCAAAGGCTCGAGTCCCAGCCTCCCGGCACCACTCTCAGGCTGTGAAACCTGTCTGTCCTGGGGAGGGGTTCACTCTGGCCCCCGTTAGCCCCCAGGCTGCACTGTCCCTCCACCCCGCTGTGTGTCCACGTTTCCTGGCCTCTAAAGTAGAAATGATCCAACCACCCCTGGGGTTACGGAGAGCCAGAGGAGGTGTGTATGGGGCACCAAGATTTTAGAAGACGCTGAGTAAACGGTGGCCGGGATTCTGTGAATAGTGAGAACAGCCCAGGTGAATGTGCACCGAGTCCCCAAAGTGCCGGGCACGTGCCCACATCCCCTGCACCATTTCTCTCCCAGGCAGGACGGTACAGTGTTGAGAGAGGAGACTCTGGAGCCAGGTGGCCTGGCTTCGAGCCCCCACCCCACCACTTGCCTGCCGCGGGACTGTGTGTGAGTTACCAGACTTCTCGGTGCCTCGAGGTCCTCACCTGTGAGATGGGGGTGATGATCGCCACTGCATAGGGCGGCCGTGAGGGTTCAGCCAGTTAAATGTGTCTGATGTCCCCATCAGGCCACCTGGACATGTGTGGTGATGGTCAACCCTTTAGTGGGCTCCAGTGTTCTTGGCCTGGAAGTGTGAGCTGAGTGAGTTGCCCCAGGTCTTAGCTGGTTCAGGCAGACTTCAGGTCCCATGTCTCCCAGGTGCTCCCATAGCCCTGCCCTTGGGGACAGAGCCCAAGCCTGTTTCCTTTCCCCAGCCACCTGCTGGGCCCCCAGGATGTTCTTGGCTGCTGGCCAGGTGGACATCACCAGGAGAGGGTGAGGGTCAAAGGGCAATAGTCCTAGGCTGCAGACCTGTGTCTATAAGAAGCACGGTCGAGGGACGCCTGGGTGGCTCAGTCGGTTAAGCGTCTGCCTTCAGCTCAGGTCATGATCCCAGGGTCCTGGGATTGAGTCCCGCATCGGGCTCCCTGCTCCGCGGGGAGCCTGCTTCTCCCTCTGCCTCTGCCTCTCTCTCTCTCATGAATAAATAAATAAAATCTTTAAAAAAAAAAAAAAAAGAAGCACGGTCGAGGGCAGGGGCTGGGGAAGCCAGGCGCCCAGGAGACTCCATTGTGTCTGAGACAAGGGCTTTAGGACCCAGCATGCATCCCCGTGTGCCTGGAGACCACCCGCCCTGCAGGCTTGCCTGCCAGCCCCTTGGCATGCCAGTGCCCAGGCCAGCTCAAGCCCCAAGCTTCTCTGCTGAGAGGCCCCAAGGCTGCTTGGCAGTCTGCCCTATTGGAGCAGCTCCAGGCCTGGCTTGTGGAACTGAATGGGGCTAAGGGGCCCGTGGGCTAGGCCTCGAATCACGGGCTGCCGGTGGCCTGAGGGGCCCAGGCATCACCGGACAGAGAGGCCCGTGGGCCACGTGGCAGAGGCATCGCTTCTGAGAACCTCGCCTGTGCCAGACCCTGGCCTGGGCCCACGGAGGCCACATGCTGTGGGTAGCACTAGCTCCGTGTCGGGAAGCTCCCAGGTGTGTCCCAGAGAGCAAAGGGACTCTGCCCAGACCGCGGCCCCTGGCCCGCCGTTCCCGTTTCGCAGGCGAGGAAGGAGGTGGGACTCAGGGCCAGCAGGCCCGTGGGCTTTGGGAAGCCGGCTTTGGCCGTAGCTGGCGCTTGAGGGAAGTGTTTTTCGGGCGAGCGATGCCAGCAGTCGGCCCGAATGTGATGCCCGTCTCTTGCAGACCGGCCAGTTCGTGCTGTGGCCTCCTGGCGTCATCTGCGGAGAACATGTCCAGGCCCCCTGAGTGCCTGCTGCGGCTGCGCCGGGGAGCCCCGAGGCAGCGCGTCTGCACCCTGTTCATCATCAGCTTCAAGTTCACGTTTTTCGTCTCCATCATGATCTACTGGCACATCGCGGGAGAGCCCAGGGGCCAAAGAGAGTTCTCTAACTTGCCTGCCGACGTCCCCTGCCCCCGACTGGGGCCCCCTACGCTGCTCTCCAGCACCCCGCCTCCGGGCAACATCTTCTTCCTGGAGACGTCAGACCGGACCAACCCCAACTTCCTATTCATGTGCTCGGTGGAGTCGGCCGCCAGGGCCCACCCCGAGTCCCGGGTGGTGGTCCTGATGAAGGGGCTACCCGGCGGGAACGCCTCCCTGCCCCGGCACCTGGGCCTCTCGCTCCTGGGCTGCTTCCCCAACGTCCACCTGCTCCCGCTGGACCTGGAGGAGCTGTTCCGGGACACGCCGCTGGCGGCCTGGTACGCGGCCCGGCAGCGCCGCTGGGAGCCCTACCTGCTGCCCGTGCTCTCCGACGCCTCCCGGATCGCGCTCCTGTGGAAGTTCGGCGGCATCTACCTGGACACGGACTTCATCGTCCTCAAGAACCTGCAGAACCTGACCAACACGCTGGGCACTCAGTCCCGCTACGTCCTCAACGGTGCCTTCCTGGCCTTCGAGCGCCACCACGAGTTCATGGCGCTGTGCATGCGCGACTTCGTGGCCCACTACAACGGCTGGATCTGGGGCCACCAGGGCCCGCAGCTGCTCACGCGGGTCTTCAAGAAGTGGTGCTCCATCCGCAGCCTGGACGAGAGTCACGCCTGCCGCGGCGTCACCGCCCTGCCCTGCGAGGCCTTCTACCCCATCCCCTGGCAGGACTGGAAGAAGTACTTCCAGGAGGTCAGCCCCGAGGAGCTGCACCGGCTGCTCAAGGCCACCTACGCTGTCCACGTGTGGAACAAGAAGAGCCAGGGCACGCGCCTTGAGGCCACGTCCCAGGCGCTGCTGGCCCAGCTCCATGCCCGCTACTGTCCCACGACGCATGAGGCCATGAAGATGTACTTGTGAGGGGCCCGCCGGGCCACCCTCCCCGCACCACCAGGCGCCCTGACGGAGAAGGGCTCCCGGCCACCTTTCCTGGTGCGGGCGAGACTGGGGGGCCCGGGAGAGGGAGGCCGGAGTTGCCGCAGCCTCGGATTCGGGCAGGCTTGGGGGAGCGTGGGGAGCTGTTGGCCCCAGAGGTGTGCTGGAGGATGCGCTGCAGGCCCCCGGATCCACTCCCTTCAGGGTGAGGCCGGTGGGACACCCCCAGGCCGGTGTGCTTTCTCAGGGTGGAGGCAACAAGTGGGGGGGGGCAGCCGGAATCAGCTGGAGTGAGCCAGGGGAGCATCTGGGTCTTTCGGACAACACACCAGAGCCGTGCGCGTCAAAGCAGCTTCCAGGACGTCACAGGGAGGCCTGGCTGCTGGGGGCCGAGGTGCCCACAAAGAGAACATGGATGGAGAAGCCCCAGAACAGGGGTAGGAAGGAGAGGGGAGCTCCTGAGGAAAGGGGGGAGGCCGCAGGGGTGCACGCCCAGCCTCATGAGCCTGGGTTGGGGGGGCAGGGTGCTTTGCTCTTCTCTGCCTTTGGTTTCTTCTTCAGAGGAGCGGGCCTGGGGAGCCCTCTGCGGGAGGCTTGCCTGCTCGCCCCGTTCTCTCTCCTTTCCAGAGACGTTGCAGGGGTGCCGTGTGCCGGCCGGCCACTCCAGTTCTTTTGGCTCAGGAAAAGCATTTTAAGAAAACCACCCCCCCCCCCCCCCCCCGCCCACAATAAACACGGGATAATAAACATAATAAAAGCAACTCCTTGACACCGAGTGCTTGGTGGTTGATAAAAGGAATCCACTCCCACAAGCCCGCATTAGCCCCATTCTGGAGATGGGGAAGCAGCTGGAGGGCCGTGTCATGACATGCTTGAGGTCACTCAGCCCTGCCCGGGAGAGCAGTCCAGGGACCCGGGGGGTGGGGGTGGGTTGGGGGGCCGAGCCAGACACCCCAGGAGCCCATTACCAGAGTAGGGGCATGCTGCCCCCAGGCCTAGAGTAGAGGGGGAGGTGTCAGGCCCTGTGGGGTCCCTCCTGGCCCAGATCCTGGGAAAGACCAGAGGTGTACTGGCAGCCACAGGGCTGGGCTGGAGGAAAATGCTCTCTGCCAGGTGCGGCCCCAGCTGGTTCATGCTGAGGAAGCCCTCTCTGAGAGCTGGGCATTCTAGCCAGGCTGGAGAAACCCTTCCCTGAGGGAGCAGGGGTGGTCAGGCTGCTCTTTGGCAGCCAAGGGGGAGATGTTTAGAGACCTCTGGGTTCTGACCTTCTTGGGCAGCCTAGTTAGGAAGTGAGCTCCCCAGCTCTAAGGGTATTCAAGAACAGGTGATATTTTGATGACGACAATGGATTCCATGTCAGGTATTTCTCTAACCACAACATCATTCACCCGTTTTTTAAAAATATTTTATTTATTTGAGAGAGGGAGTGAATGAGAGAGAGAGCACACAAGCAGGGGGAAGGGACCAAGGGAGAGGGAGAAGGAGGCTCCCCGCTGAGCAGGGAGCCCAACCCAGGCCTCCATCCCAGGACCCTGGGATCATGAACTGAGCCAAAGGCAGACGCTTAACCGACTGAGCCACCCAGGCGCCCTAACTATATATACTTAAGCAAGTAAGACAGCTGCCCCCATAGGCTCAAGCCTTGTGTAATCAGTCACTTGGCCATGGCATGTGAGTGCCTACTAGGCACGAGCGTGCAGAGAGGACAGTGTCACCTGCTCACCCTCAGTGCCTCTATGGTTCCCTATTGCCTAACTTGGGCTGGATTACAGGTCCGCCGTGGTCCTGCCCTCTCCAGCCTTGGGCATTGCCCTGCACTCACGCTTAACTGCATAATTTTTTTTTTCTTCCCCAGAGAGAAAGAGCCCGTACTTGCTTGGGAGTGAGGGGGCAGGGGCAGAGAGAATCTTTTTTTTTTTTTTAAAGATTTTTATTTATTTATTTGACAGAGAGAGACAGTGAGAGAGGGAACACAAGCAGGGGGAGTGGGAGAGGGAGAAGCAGGCCTCCCGCGGAGCAGGGAGCCCGACGCGGGGCTCGATCCCAAGACCCCGGGACCATGACCAGAGCCGAAGGCAGACGGCCAACGACTGAGCCACCCAGGCGCCCGAATCTTAAGAATCTTAATCTTAATCTTCCCTCCAGGAAGCCTTCTCTGACTGCCCTTCTTCCAGCCCCACAGCTCCTAAGCATCTCCCTTGACTATTGGGTTCTTGACCTGTTTCCCCAAAGATCTTGAAGGGCAGAGCCATGCCAAAGCCCTCTCAGGGCTATTCCTGGGTTTGGTCTCAGGCTCCCAGCGGGGCGCATCCGTGTCACTTTGAGCAGGGGACTTCAAGGAGTTCCCAGCAGTCCATGCAGAGCTGAGGGACCGACTCTGGACCAACTCTGGGAGCATCAGCAAGATCACTGGGCCCTTGGCCACCCCTGACACCTTCTAACGCAGGGAGCCTGGCCAGGCTGGAGTAGCCGAAGCCAGTTCTGTCGGAACACAGCTTGGCCAAATGTTTACAGACCTTCTCAGAGGACCTCATTCTGGAAATGGGGCCCAGAAGGGAGCCTTGGCCCCAGACTCTCCTCACATCATGCCAGGCAGGGCCAAGAATGGGAGAAGTCTCAGATGTTCCTGGCATCCTTTCTCTGAGGAAGTGAGCAGGCGGGGGAATGCAGGGGGGCACAGAAGTGACTTTTCCTCTCTCATGTTTCACGAAGGACCCTCCATCCATCAGCCTGACAGTTGGGAGGGGGAGGGCTGCACCTCGCTGAGCCTGCCCCACGCCTAGCCTCTTAATGCATCAGATAGAAACCAGTCAGGATCCCCCTGGCCAGAAATAACAGCAGCATCCTGGAGAAAAGAGGCTGAGGGGATGGGTGTGGGCGGGCAGAGGGAAGGTGGAAAGGCTGATTCATCTCCCAGCTGTGGGGCCACAAAGTGCCACCCTCACCACCCAGCCCTGCGGACCCCAGCCTCTGCCCATCCTGGTGGAGTGTTCTTGGCCCTCTTTTGGTCTGGGAGGAATCGTCCTAATGCCCAGGGCAGAGCAGGGGAGCGTGAGGATCCCCCTTGCTGCCTCCTGGCCTCTGTGCCCTGGCCAGGGCCGTGCCTTGTTGCCTCTTGGGCAGAAATGTATGGGACCAGCCTCCTCGCATGGTTGTGGCGATTGAATGGGCCAGCAGGGCACCTGGCACGGAGTACAGTATATATAACACCCCCCAAATGCTATGTGGGGAAACTGAGGCTTAGCCAGTACGGGGTGGCACTGAGATTTGAACCCAGCCCTGAGCGGTCCTGAGGCCCGAGCTCCAGGCAGGAAGGAGGCAGGCTGCAGGAGCTGGAGAGGGTTCTTCCTGACCTCCCTGTGCAACATCCACAGACCAGAGCACCATCCCCCCCCCCCCCCACACACACACCCCTTCCTGGTTCCTCTGCCTCTCCCCCATTCCATTGAGACCCTGTGCTTGGTGCTGTCCCATCCCAAGCTCGCAGTTGCCTGATGCTCTGGCAACCTTGGGCTGCCCCCCTTCATGGTAGGAGCCGGAACATTTGCTGGGCAACTGAGTTCTCCAGTTCTCGGAAAAGAGAAAAGAAGGGCCGGCTCCAGTGGAAGTCCTACCCTGGGGACAGTAATCAGATCCTAGGAACCCTGTGGTTTGTTTCTGGCGGGTGCATTTACAGATGTTTTTGTCTGGGAGTTGGGGAAGAAGATGAGGACCCATCCCTTCATGGGGGCTTCAACAAGGGGCCCAGCAGGGCCTGAGGCAGGTGTGTTGTCGATAATTGAATGAACCTTCCCAGCTGACCAAGCACAGGCCTGGAGGGCAGTAGCCTGCCCAGCAGCGCTGGGGTGAGGGAATGCTCTCCCTTGCCTCTGTATCAATACTCAACTTCTTGTTCAAATATTACATTGGGGAGCGCCTGGGTGGCTCAGTCATTAAGCGTCTGCCTTCGGCTCAGGTCATGATGCCAGGGTCCTGGGATCAAGCCCCGCATCGGGCTCCCTGCTCCGCGGGAAGCCTGCTTCTCCCTCTCCCACTCCCCCTGCTTGTGTTCCCTCTCTCGCTGTGTCTCTCTCTGTCAAATAAATAAATAAAATCTTTAAAAAAAAAATATTACATTGGAATGTCCTCCATCTAAATGACTAACAAAGACAAAGGATGAGTGAGTAACTAAGAAGTGTGTTCCTGGAAGTCTGGCTTCATGGTTCACTTGTTCCTAAATCTCTGCTAGTCCTAATAGGGGCAGCCCAGTGCAAGGCATGCTGGGAATTCCTCTGTGAGGTCCGGGCTTGAGACTGGACACAGCTTTTGGGACCTGACAACCGGCCGTGGACTCAAGGGTGATTGGGCTATGGGGGAAGGAGCACCCACTTTCCTGGGCAAGGGGCCACATAGGAGGGAACCAAGGTGGTTGGGTGAGACTGAACTGTGGAGGGGAGGTCCCCAAACAGGAAGACATTCATCACAGCCGTGGTCCACCACCAACACAAATCAGAACCCAGCCCCCATCCCCACCAAGTTCCAACGAGAGAAACAAGATCTGAGAGGGGGCCTCTGGCTGCTAGAAACAACGCAGGGTGATTTAAACCACAAGGGCATTTATCGTCCCACATGATGTATCAGTTAAGGTACCCAGGGAGCTGCTATAATGAAAAAACTCCAAAAGAGAGTTGCCTAAAGAAGGCAGAAGAGGGGCGCCTGGGTGGCTCAGTCGGTTAAGCGACAGCCTTCGGCTCAGGTCATGATCCTGGAGTCCCGGATCGAGTCCCGCATCGGGCTCCCTGCTCGGCAGGGAGTCTGCTTCTCCCTCTGACCCTCCCGACCCTCCCCCCTCTCATGCTCTCTGTCTCTCATTCTCTCTCTCTCAAATAAATAAATAAAATCTTTAAAAAAAAAAAAAAGAAGGCAGAAGATTGTTCCTCTCTCACGTCACAGCCCCCAGGTGAGTACTCCGAGGCCCATGGGGCCGCTCTGCCATCCCCCAGATGGGGCATCTAAAAGGCTCCAGCTGCTGCCATTTTCCAGCTAGTAGGAAGGGGGGGAGAGAGGGCCCAGGGCCACCGGCTTTAATCCAGAAGTTTGCGTACACTCCTGCTCACATCCCATTGGCCTGGACTTAATCACTTGGCCACACCCAGCTGCCAAAGCTGGTCTGAAGCTGGGGGGTCAAACAGCCAGCTAAAACTCATCCTGTTCTATTCCTAAACAGATGGCAGGAAAAATGGACCCAAGAGAACAGTTAGCAGTGTCTGTCACATAACCAGGAGTCTGGCGACAGAGTGCCTCTAGGGTTGGTTAAGTCAGTAGCTCATCGACATCTTCATATCTTCAAGGATCTCATGAGTTGATTTTTGGTCTCAAGCTCGTCCCCTCATGACTCCAAGATTGTCGCCCCTGCTCCAAGCATCATACCCTCATGCACTAATCAAAAAGGCAGAGTAGAGAATGTTCCTCCCTTGTGTCTGGGAAAACTTTCTCAGAAGACCCCTTCTCCAGCTGACTTCCCCTAACTTTCGTTGGCCAAATAAGCAGCATGTGCCCATTCCTACCCCGATTACTAGCAAAGGGAGTCCAAATGCTCAGGGCAGAGCAGGGGAGCACAAGGATCTGTCTTCCCTGCCTCCTGGCCTCTGTGCCCTGGCCAGGGCTATGCCTTGTTGCCTCTTTTGAAGAAATGGATGGGACCAAGGACTGGCTTAGACCAATTGAGATTTACCCCCAAGGCCTGGGAAGGGTGCCCCACTTCCTTCCCAATACAAGGCCACCTGATGGCGGAACAAAATCAGGGTTCCCCTAGCAAGAAAGAAGAGGGGGAGGTATGGCTGTGGGTAAGGAGCCTCCATGGGAACTGTACTTCCTGCCCACCTGCTCTGCCCCAAGACCCGCAGTAGACACTTTCCTGCACCTGATTTCATTCACCTCACCCCTGTGAGGAGGACTCCAGCTGCAATTTATATATGAGGGAATGGAGACTCAGAGAGGTTAGGGGACCTGCCTCAGGCCACACAGCCAATATGTAGCAAAGCTCAGTTCCAGCCCCAATGGGAGGATGAGCAGAACGGTAGCTCAGAGGAGACTTGAACGTGTAGAACTCTAGAGCCAGGCCCCTCCCACTGCAGGATGGCCCAGCGCAAGTCCTGTGACAGGGCCTTCTTAGTTCCATGACCAGAAAAATAAGATCTTAGGAAATATTTTGTGATGATATAAATGGCGGAGTATTTTTGCAGAGACTCCGGGTTTGATTCTTTTTTTTAAAGATTTTATTTATTTATTTTGACAGCAAGAGAGGGAACACAAGCAGGGGGAGTGGGAGAGGGAGAAGCAGGCTTCCCGCTGAGCCAGGAGCCCGATGCGAGGCTCGATCCCAGGACCCTGGGATCATGACCTAAGCCGAAGGCAGACACTTAACGACTGAGCCACCCAGGCGCCATCGTAATTGAATGAATGCACGCTTTACAGTACCTGAAGGCTCTTTGCAAAATCATTTTTTTGTATCTGTTTTATTAGATGCCGTGCACAATTTTACTCTTTTGGCCTCTCACTCATTCCATGACTGGTTGGTGTTGAGACCATTGGAAGATTCATTAATTATGAAGGAAATTAATCTGTTAGGGTTCATTTCAATTGTAAACAGCGACAACAAACGTGACTTAGAGGTTACTTTCTCGCTTGCGAAGAAGCCCAAGGCGGGCAGCCCAGGAATGGTGTGGCAGTGCCGCGGAGTCCATGAGCCAGGTCCCCATCAGCTTGAGGTTCCACCACCCTCAACACATGGGTTCTGCCTTACAGTCCAAGATGGCTGCTCAAGTGTCAGCATCACATATGCATTCCAGCCGGAAGGAATAAGGAAGGATTGAAGCGGGACACTCTCTGCCCATCAGAGGGAGTCCCCCAAAGTGGCATATGATATTTACACCTCATAGCATTTGTAAGAACTTAGGCATAGGACAATGTAGCTGCAAACAAGGAGTTGCCCTGTGATACCATCTCTTTGTAGCCTCGGCACCCACGGGGCTGGGACAGCCCTGCGGGCTTGTTCTGAGTTGGGGCAAAGGGCTGGGTCCTTACAGCCCATGCTGATTAGTCATTGGATGCAGGTTGGCCTCAGAAGCCATGATCCTAGGCAAGGCAGCTTTTTTTAGCCCCCAAAAAAGGCCAAGAACTGAGGACCATGTTCCAGCCGCTCTCCTAGCAGCTGGGGAATGAGTTCTTCATTCCAGGAGGGGAACCTGGGCAGCTCCTCACAGCATCCACCCCAATCCTGTAAGATTCCACTTATGTGATGCTCAGAGACCGGCCAAATAATCCATGGTGTTAGAAGTCAGGATCGTGGCGGCCCTTGGAGGGGCTTCGGGCTCCAGTTACCATTTCTTCATCGGGCGCTGGATGCATGGAGGTGGCACTTTGTGAACCCCCACTGACCGTACACGTATGGTTTGTGTGCTTCCCTGAAATAGCAAGACAGAGGCTGGGGGGTGGGGGCAGAGGGTTACAGAGGCTGTCGTGCTTCCGTGCAGGACAACGTGAGGGGCTGGGGGACAGCCTGGCTGCCGGCCCAGGAATGGGAGAACGAGCCAACAAGAATGAGATGAGACTTGAATGTGAGGGGCCCCTGGAGAGGTGGCTCCAGCTCCACAATCACTCAGACTGAGCTGACACAAGGCCATGGCCAGGGATGCCTTAGAAAGGATGAGCTGGCCCCAGGTGAGGGTGCCAAATAAGGAGCCTGGGGGCCAAAGACCCATTTTAGGGGGATGCCCACCCCCAGAGATGGGTCCTGGAGAAGCAGCTGGAGGAGGTGGAGAGAGGACCAGAAGCCAGCAGTGTCTGAGAAGTGAGCCCGGGTTGGGGAAGGGAGAGTCCTTCTGGAGTTCACAGAGGCCCCCAGTGTTAACAGCTGGGGCCCTCGGAGCCCCCAAGCAGGCAGTGCCAGGCCCTCTCCCTTCGGGCACAGGCAGGGAACAGGAACACCTGCCCATTTAGGAAGAGGGTTGGCAGCAATCAGGGAGGCCTTGCAGGGATCCCAGGCGGAGGAGGCCCTGGCAGAGCTACTGGAGACTTGGCCAGGTCCCTGCTGTCAGAGCAGAGGACAGGCAGGGAGCCAAGGCAGCCCCGGCTGCATGGTATGGAGGATGGAACCAGGCCGAGGGGCAACGGTGGGATAGGCCTCCAGATCAGCCACGAGGGGAAGGGCTAGGCTGGGCCCTGGGATTTGAGGCCTTTGGGACATTCACCCCAAATATTACCTTAGGAAATCGAAAGAGTTAGTTAGGGGTGTGCAAATCATACTCGATAGAGACCCCTTGAAAGGCTGCTTTGCAGCGTAGTGGGAAGAATTGTGTTCCTGGGCTACAAACTTTCTGTGGGACTTGAGAAACTCACATCCTCTCTGAGCCCCAGTTTCTTCATCTGCAAAGTGGGGGCAGGAGACCAAGGAGCCTTTAAAGCAGATTCTGGCTCTAAAATCCCCAAACAAATGAGAAACTTCAAGGGGCCTCAGGGGCTAGAGCTGGGATGTGGCCACAGGTCCCTCTTGAGGCCTCGATGGGGGCTCTGACCCAGCTGCCGGGGCGGGGGGGGGGGGCGCGGGGGCGCCTAGTATCAGTGCCTGGGAGGAAGTTTCTGGATCCAGCCTGCAGAGTCATTATAGAGCATCCATGCCAGGAGACCACACACCTCAAAGCCTAGAGGCAGTGAAGGCCCGAGAGATGTCCCCAGATGGCAGGCAAAATGCAAGAGTACTGTATGCCGCCTCAGCCCACTCTCTCGGGTAGGCGTCATGACTGTCCTCTTGCTAAAGAGGAGACAGGTGCCAGAGAGGGCTAGCGTATGCCCAGTCACACAGCTGGCTCCTGCCCTCCCCAGAACAGTTCAATCTTTTTTTTTTTAAGATTTTATTTATTTAATTTTTGCAAGAGAGAAAGGGAGAGAGCATGCGCAGGGTAGAGGGACAGAGGGAGCCGGATGCGGGACTCGATCCCAGGACCCTGGGATCATGACCTGAGTCAAAGGCAGATGCTTAACCGAGTGAGCCACCCAGGCGGCCCTGGAACAGCCCAATCTTGAGTACAGAAATACCCCTATCTCCAGCCTGGCCCCATGCTCCCTCTCTGCCCCCCACCCCCACCCCGTCAACCCCAGCTCTTCACGCACAGAGCACTTTCATCTCCCCTGCAGGCTATGAGAGCCTCAAGGACAAGGACAAAGTCTTGTCCTCTTCATGGGGTGCAGGATTTTACGTTTCACAAAGTGCCCCCTCTTTCCTGTGTGGCAAGTATTGTCCCCACTTTTAGCGAGGAAACACCCATGCCCTGAGAAGACCTTGCCCAGAGGCCACAGCTAGTAGGAGGCGGGGCCAGGACGCGGTCCGGGTCTGTCTGACCCCGAGCCTGGGAATCGTGCTGCTCTGATGTCCTCCAGGTAAACCCAAGAAGGGCCGACTCATTCATGAGCGGAATGCAGAGAGGGTCACAGGACCACCCCTCCCTCCTTCCACCCTCAGGTACAGCCCACTGTCAGGTCGATCCCATCAGGGAAACCACAGGGCTTTCTGAGCCAAGAGACTGACTCTCTGATGGGCAGAATCTAGTCAGAATGAAGCTCCCTCCCCTGTTGGCAAACATCATCCAGCCTCCCTGGCTCCACTGAGGGGCCTCAGGCCCGACTCCGCAAGTGCCAGAGCCAGCGGTGGCATCTGGATCCCATTAGCTTGCCGTGGGCTGGCTTGAGCACAATAGCCTCGACAGGCCCCAGGGGACCCCAGCTGGGCTATGCAAGTGCCATCTGTCCCTACTCCCACAGCAGCTCCCCAGGGTGGAGAGCCCCTGAGTCTCCGGCGGCCGGATAGGGAGGAGGCAGGAAGCGTGAAAGTCACTTCTCCAAAGAAGATACACAAATGGCCACTAAGCACGTGAAAAGATGCTCAACACCTTTAATCATGATGGAAAAGTGAAAGCCATACTGAGACACCACTTCACACTCACTAGGACGGATCGTCAAAAAGACAATGACAGGGGCGCCTGGGTGGCTCAGTCGTTAAGCGTCTGCCTTCGGCTCAGGTCATGGTCCCAGGGTCCTGGGATCGAGCCCCGCATCGGGCTCCCTGCTCAGCGGGAAGCCTGCTTCTCCCTCTCCCACTCCCCCTGCTTGTGTTCCCTCTCTCGCTGTGTCTCTCTCTGTCAAATAAATAAAATCTTAAAAAAAAAAAGACAATGACAAGTGTCAGTAAAGGTGTCAGAAATTATAAACCTCATACATCCATCGCTGGGGGAATCTAAAATGGTGCAGCCGCTTCAGAAAACAGCTTGAAATCTCCTCCAAAAGTTAAACATGGAGTTACCACATGACCCAGAAGTTCCCTTCTGAGGTGTATACCCAAGAGAATTGAAAATATCTATCCACACAAAACTCTGAACATGAACGATCATAGCGGGTCTATTCATAACAGCCAAAAGCTGGGAACTTTAATGAGATACCATAACATCTGCCCAGTGGTTTTGTTTTAGCATACAAATGTCCATTAACTCACTCCCGGATATACTCATACAATGGTATATTTTTCCGGAATGGAGCACCAGCATATCCTACAGTGTGGATGAAGCCTTGCAAACATGCCACTGAAAGAAGCCAGATGCATACCGCATGATTCCATTGATATGAAATGTCCAGAATAGGCAAATCCATGGAAAGGGAAAATAAATGAGTGGTTGCCAGGGGCTGGGGGGGAAGGGGGGAGGATGACTGTTAATAGGGGCAGTTGTTTTTTTTTTTTAAAGATTTTATTTATTTATCTGACAGAGAGAGAGACAGCGAGAGAGGGAACACAAGAAGGGGGAGTGGGAGAGGGAGAAGCAGGCTTCCTGCCAAGCAGGGAGCCCGATGCGGGGCTCGAACCCAGGACCCTGGGATCATGACCTGAGCCAAAGGCAGACGCTTAACGACTGAGCCACCCACTCGCCCCGCAGTTTCTTTCTGGAATGATGAAAATGTTCTAAAATGGGTGATGGTGGCTCAGCTCTGTGAGTATACTAAAACAAAACCACTGGGCAGATGTTATTATGGTATCTCAATAATGTTCTTTTTTGTTTTTTGGTTCAGAGGATAGGGAGCCCGACTTGGCAGTCTGGGCTTCCAAAGTCGGTGGAAACACTGTTCTGCCCCACCCCCACCGCCATGGAAACATTCCCCGCTCCAAGTTTCGGGGTTTGGAAACAAAAATTCCATGAGCGATTATTGGGTGTGGTCGTGATGCCTGGTCATGATTATGGCCCATGTCCGCCTGTGGTTCAACGCATACGCTCTATCCACTGAGACAGATCCCCATCTTCTAAGTGTTGCCTCCACTTGCAGATAGAACTTGGGTCTTTGGTGGGGCCTGCCCCATTCTGCTGGACCAGCTGTTTCTGGGTGGCAGGGCATCTCCGAGGCAATGGCTTCACAAAGACCCATCCCGCCCTCAGAGGGCCCCCCCTGGTGGTGGATGAAGTCCGCGAAGCCAGGCTCTCCGAGGCAGCAGAGCAGGGCTGAGGCGGGCAGGGGCAGTTTTGACCCCAGCTTGAGCTAAAGGCCCAACAGAGGTGGGATCCCCCTCCAAGCTAAGAGACTCGGGAAGAGTGCATCTTACTGGAACCTCAGAACCTCGAGGAGACAACGGGGACTGATGATAGCGACGAACTTGTAGCCCCAGGATAGGGCAAGATAGTATGCAAAATAAAATTAAAATGATAATGAGCCAAAACTATGTGGGTATGCCTGGCACACCTGAACTTGACACTTACCAAAGTGTGAGGGGATAAGCCTTACGCAAATTTTACCGCAGTTAATTTTTTGCAGTAATAATCAACAGGAGATGGGAAGCGCGCAATGAGATCAGGAAGCCCTATGGCAAAGCCTTAAACTTGAACCCCATCCAACAGACGTGTGTCAATGCTGAATGTGCTTAAGAGACAGAAACCCCAAACCTAAAATTCCTCACATCATAGGGAAATTGCAGTGCCTTCCTTATTTGCCTTTGGCCACCCACTGTTTTAATAGCAACATGAAACTTTCTTTTTTTTTTTTTTTTTAAGATTTTATTTATTTATTCATGAGAGACAAAGAGAGAGAGAGAGGCAGAGGGAGAAGCAGGCTCCCAAGGAGCAGGGAGCCCGATGTGGGACTCGATCCCAGGACCCTGGGATCGTGACCTGAGCCGAAGGCAGACGCTTAACCGTCTGAGCCACCCAGGCGCCCCACAACATGAAACTTTCTTAATGACAAAGATTTTCTTAGTCATGAAAGGCCAGTGCTGACTCCAGTGAATAACTATGTAAGAGGGGAAATCATGATGATGATGGCAGTGGTCAGTCACATTTTCCAAGCCCTTGTTCTCAGCCACCTTCCCATGTGTTAACTCATTTATCCTCACACTCACCCTTTGAAGAAGGGGCTTTTTTTTTTTTTTTTTTCAGGCCCCCAGCACGGGGCCTGAACTCATGACCCCGAGATCAGGACCAGAGCTGAGATCAAGAGTCAGATGCTCAACCGACTGAGCCACCCAGGCGCCCCTGAAGAAGGGGCTATATTGACTCCACTTTGTAAGATCTCAAAGCATCTTCTAAGTCAGGATGAGCCATTTGTGGTCAATGTCGTTTTGATGTTGGCCTTTAATCAATTTTCTACTTCTTCCATGTTTGGCCAGTCTGACTCCTGAGTCCTCTGGTGAGACATGCCAGGCACAGCCCCTTGGACAGGAACGCCCTATCCGAAAGAGGCCCCGGGCATGGGGGCTGTGCTCTGGGAACCAGCTACCCGCTCCCTGCCCTGAGACCTCTGTCCTCGCCAATGGTGCCCTGTCACCCTCTCCTCCATCTGTGGTTCTGCCTGAGCCTTGCCATGGCTGGGGCTCCAGACCCTCCCGCCTGGCAACCCCTGCCCCCTCTCAATTCTGTTTTTGTCTCCCCCAACTTCTGAGCCTCCGCATCCTGTTCCCTGTCCCAGGGAAGTCCCCACATGCCCAGAGAGGCTAAATCAAACTGAGTATTTCTTCACCAGGAAACTCCACATCCTAACCATGATGGGGAAACAAAGCTTTTTTTTTTTTTTTTTTTTTTTTTAATCAGAGTAAAGGGAAACACACATGCATACACACAAAACCCCCAATTACTCCATGATGTTTTTGTAGAGCAAAGAGCAAAAAGACACACACACAGCATTTCACAAAATGATTTCTGGCCATTGCAAAATGATCATAAACTGTCCCAACTTCCCAAAGAGACTGAAAGGAAAATTCATTTCAAACAGCCTCTTACTTTCCATTAGGCTTTAAATGTAGTCCAACCCTGCATTCAAATTGCAGAAGGCCAAATTAAGATTGAGGGAAAATTGTTCACATGATGAAAAGAAGGAAAAGATCAGCATCCAATCCAGAGCCTAGAAACTACTGGAAATCCTCAACCCATGCAACCCTTTCCCGTCACAAAGCCACGGAATTTCAGGACCTGAGGGACCATAGACCCACAGGCTCAGCTGCTACAACCCT